TAGTCTAAGTAAAATAATCTTCTAGTTAAGATTGATTTCACTTTATTCATTGAATGATGTTTGAACATTGTTCGAATAAAATCTAATAACATAGTGTTTAGCATCTTGAACTATGTTCTATCATGTTTCAAATAAGGTTTGAACATAGTTCACTTAGATGTTTTAACAAATAATAAATATACTTTTTAATACTTTATCTAACTTTGCATTACATCTCCATCAAACAAAACCTAATATGCACTATAGAATTAAATCTTGAAAAAAAATATTATCCATGTATGCTTAATCATCAATGAGCCAAAAATATCTCAAACTTTACCAGTGCGGTCCCTCTTGAGTGAAAAAATTTATGATGAAAAATATGTTAACACTAATGATGACAACAAATGAAGAAAATCAATGTGAAAAGTGGGGGATGTTTCTCTCTTTTTAGAGTGTGACGAGTAAATTTGAATATTTTGATCATTAAGAAATTTTAGATATATTTTTTTAAGAAATAAATAGAGGATTTTTTTTTTAATTTTTGAATATTATGAGACATAAATTATATAAATAAAATAAAATAAAATATAGGAATTAGATATTTAAATAAATAAAAAATACCCACCAAATTAGCCTTGGAGTCCGATTAACATCCGGCGAGCGGAAGCCGAGTTCACAAATGCCGCTATGAGCTAGGGATTGGTCTGTGATGTGAGCTTCCTTCTGAAAACTTTGGCGACGAAGCGGGAAGTGGACACGGCGATCATAGACACTCGACAAGGTTCTCGTCTTCTACGTTGGTCGTGCCTCTTAAGCCTGTTTCTCCATAGCTCGACGACATAGTGAGTTCCTCTTTTCCAATCCTCACTTAACCTTCACAATCGTTACTTGATCCTTTATATATGAATTTGTTATGTTTGATGCTTGTGATTTTCTTGGTTACTATCCTTGTTTATGATTGTGTATGAGCTTGTTTAATTGAAGGCATGATTTTAGTAAAGTTGGATTTGATAAATCTTAGGGGCTGCTTGGTATCAGATTGGATTTCACTTTAGTGGGATTTAATAAATCATGTAAATTCGGATTACTAAGTCTTGAGGGTGTTAAATCATGAAAACTGTTTGGTATAACATATATTAAATCCCGAGAAACTATTTGGCAATGTAATCCAGGATTTAAGACGGTTGGTTCCTTTGAAAATTAAATTTAGTGTGCTTTGAATTTTATTTGCGTGTTAGCTATGAGTTATTTATAAATAATATACTAAGAAGCTAGTTTAATTATTCAATAAATTAATTAATAATTTAATTACTAATAAAAATATTAATTAACTAATTACTTATTTAGATATTATTTTAATGAAAATTTCAATACTAATTATAACTATTATTATTTAAAACAATTAATCATTTAATTAGTATTAACAATACTAACAATTTCATTAATTTAATTTTTTTAATACTTTTTAATTACCGATTATACTTTTAGGTGTCTAATTAATTAATTAATTAATTATATTATATTATAATATAAATTAAGTATTTAATTAATATTTATACTGCTAATTACCTAATTAATTATTTAAATATTAAATCATATTAATTAAACTATCATAATTATTGCCTAATTTAAAATTTAAGGAATTAATCTCATAGTCGGTAAGCTTTCCCTCGCTTCTTCGTTACTTTTCGCGTGAGGTAGGGCTTCCTCTTCGGCTTTGCTACTTCTTCATTACTAGGGTTTGCTTTTCCTCTTATGCATTTCTTCGTTGTTGTTCTGCTTCACGTGAAGTTGAGTTCGAAGCTTCTCCGCCTCCTTCGAAGACATTGTTCTTTTCGAATTTTAGTTCATCGCGACAGCCATTCACCACGAAGGTAATGATATTTCTCCGTTTTGGGCGCTTCTTCCACTAAATCCGTAAATCCCCTTGTCCATAAATCCGTAAATCCACCGAACAATGGGATTTATTGGATTTACGCTGGAAATCAGTAAATCCGAGATTTACGAAAGCGTCGGATTTAGATGACATCTAAAAACTGATTGGCTGGATTTTCCTTAAATCCGGCATAAATCCCAACCCAATCCAATCTTAGTTTTTGTGGGATTTGAGGAATTGTGCTGAATTAAATTCCTTAAATCTTAGTTTTTTCATGGTCCTGGATTTGAGTCAAGATTTATAAAATCCAGCTAAATTCATGGTTCGATTTAGGCCAGGATTTCTAAGCCCTTTATAAACTTTTTGGTAAATTTTATCTTAAATTTCATCCAAATCTCTGTTAAAACAAACAATCAACCAAATATGATTTTTTGTGCATTTGAAATGTTGATCAGGAATCGAGGGCTTTCATGTTTTTTTATTTGAATCGACGTATATGCATAGAAAATTGTTTTATTAAGGGTTATCATCTCTATTGAATGGGAATTATCTTTGATTAGTGGTTATTGATGATCTAGGTGTTAGGTATGGAGTTAAAATTCCTTCAATTATTTCAGAAAAAAATATATATAATGTGTATTGGAATATAATACTCAATAAGATCATCGTATAAATATGTATCGATTGCACAAGGTCAAGGATTTGATTAATCAACTATAATGAGCACACTTATTCTTTAACCCGTAAATCTCAATATTAGAGGACACTTGGAAGGCCATATTCAAAGTCATGTTAAGGGTTTTTTTATTGTCTTATGATGCCTTTAAATTTGTTAATGCTTTATAAACGTTCTGTTAAGCTGGTGAATGAAGGAGCTCATAAGAATTATCTATTATATGAAAGGAGTTGTTCGATTTACATAAAAAATGAAGCACTAAAAGCATTACTTATGAAGTATATCGAGCAAGTTATATATTTACTTGCATCTTTATTCATAAGCTATGGCAAGAACTACTTGCCCATAAGCACGTTACTGCTCGACCAGCTTAGTATCCTTAGTCTTGTATCCCATGAAACTCAGCGTATCTCTTGCCATATCTAAAATGACTTCATAAGCCTTGTAGTGATACTATATATATATATATATATATAGTTACTGTATATTAGACTGGGGAATCCTTTAATACTATATATCTCTTATTGTGTGTCATGTCTCTTTTTATCCGTCATAGTGCCCTCTCCCATGATATCTTACTTCATCGATATCCAAAATTTATATCCTTATCTTTGACCATGAGAACTATTTTAGTGAAGAAAACAATGTGCATGTCATGAAGCACAACCCAAATTTTCATATATCATTTTTTTGGTGCACTTCATGAAAGTGTTTTTCATGTAAATGTTCTTGAAATTCTTATCCTCATAGAAATTGCTCTCCAACAATATGGTACTTGTCATCCTCTCGAACTCATTTTTAGTTGATCATTGTTCGAAGATGTTTAATATTGTTTGAGCGTGATTTAATCATTGTTCTAACAACAACTGTGTTTGAAAAATAAACTTAAACATGACAAGTAGTACATAAACTAAAATTTAACAGCATAGGGGTTTTTGATTTAGAGTGCAAAGCTTGCTTGTATTTTAAAAGAAAATTCGAACATCATTAATCCTTAAAGAGATTGTCATCTTAAAATTTTGCCACATGTCAAAAACACATGCTTTGCAATTGCCAAAAACAAAGAAGGTGATCAGAAGAGTTTCATCTAAGAGTCACAGAGCTCTTACAATCTTAGGGTCAAAAAATTGATTAGCGAGGATTTTTTACTCTTTTTGTTAAAAGGTAAGAGTATTCATATTTTTAATGAAACAATAGATAAATTTTACTAATTTTTGATATTATGGGGCATATAAAGTCAAATTCCCCTTTCCCTTGGCATCATTTTTATCATTTTAGGAGATTGTTGAGATTCATTTTTAAATTCATATAATTTAAAGTTTATAATGTATCCAAGAATATAAGATTTTCAAACCTTTTACCCATTTAATTTAATTTTTATTAATTAACAAATTTATTTAATTATCTTGAAAATATTTGGCCATTTTCATCTTATATTATTATTAACATAGAAAAGGAATTCAATCTATATTGCATAAAAACAAGTATTGTTAAAGGGAGTATGAATAATTATTAGGTAGGTAATATTTACTGATATTAAAAAAGTTAATCTTATTTTGAAGCTACCAAAAAATACTTAGTTTGGAATTTATTATGAATTTTATAAAAAGTTTGAATAAAAAAATGAAAAAAAATCATAGAAAAGATTGAAGTCAATATGCTAGTCAGTAATTATATAATTGAAAGTTTATTTATCTAAATATTTGCTAAAACTATGGAATGATAGTTAATATTGTTTAATTTAAAATGTGGCATTATTTAGAAGGTAAATAGGATAATAATTCAAATAATATCAAATATTAAATGTTTGTATCATTAAGTAACGTATGCAAAATTTTGTTTAAATGAAGAATTGACATTCTGTGATATGTTAGTTTTTTTTTTTCTATATTTAGATTTTACTAAGTTTGAATGTACAAAAGTGGTATTTCTTGTTCTCTTTTCATGTTCGGTCCAAGTTTAGAATCATCCAAGCCGGTGGCAAATCCATCCCAATTCATTCCTAACCAGCTTTCCCTTCATTGAAGGGAGATGACGTGAACCTTAATCCTATGGCTTTTATTTTGTTCACCTCATGTAACGGCACCTCTTAAAGAATTTCTTTTCTCTTGCTGAGGAAGCTATGATCTTTACCGAGTCATGGTGGAAGTGAATTAGGGTTTCTGAGATCTTCAATCTTCATAGCCAAGATGGTGTGATTTGAATTCTATTTAGAATGGAGTAGATTTTTATTCTCTGTTCCATGTCAATGATTGTTTCGTTGGAATGGACTATTTCTTTTGTTCAGATTCTCATGATTTTTTCTGCCTTCAACTGTGATGGACGTGGCTAATGTTTTCTTTTGTTAAACTTTTTTTTTTTTTGCACGTGTTATTGTTCTTTATTTATTTATATGCTTCATAAAATTTTCTTTCGTCCTTTACTTTTTAGTCCCTAATTTTTCTGTTTCTCTATCCGCATCTGCAGGTTCTTTAAAGCAATATTGATATGCTAAACTCGCCAGCAGAGCTTGTACAGAAGAAACATAAGCTCTAGCGGCTTGTGCAATCGCCCGCCCTACTCCATGGTAAATTAAAAATTCTGATCAGCAATTCTTGGTTTTTTTGCATGAAATAAGTCTTTTTTTTTTTTTTGCTTGGTATTACTATTGGCTGATGTAGGGTTGCTTTTTTATGCTTCATAACATCTTTTTTTTTTTATTTGAAGGATGTCAAATGCCAAGGCTGCTTCAAAATGTAAAGTTTTTTATAGTATTTATTCATTTTCTTTGTACTTAGTTCTATTGTTTGTTGAGATTTGATCTGTTTTTTTATCTGAAATTTGATCTTTGATTTACTTTCATGGTTGGTGTAATTTGTAGAACTACTGTTTTCAGCCAACCTCAGACTGCTGTTGTTTGTGGGAATTGCCAGACTGTGCTGTGCCAGCCAACTGGAGGTAAGGCGAGGCCTATTAATGCAGGAAATTTATTGGAGCTTACTGTTATTAAACTTTTAGAGTAGGGGTGTTTTCTGTAGTAAAAGATGTTTTAAGTCTTTGTCGTCATATTTTTTTGCTCTTTCTGTGGCCAATGATAAGTCCTCCTGCTGGGTTTCTTCTCTTAGTAAGATTTTGTCTGCTTTATGAACTATTTGGTTTGAGACATTTCTGTCAAGTTTCATTTCATTTTATGCTTGTGTTTTGTTTTAGTTTATATCACATGCTGGGATTCTTTTGTTAACTTGATTTTCTAATATTTGTTTGATTATAATCTTTCAAAAATCCATAATTTTAAATGATCAAATCTTATGTTAAATCTGTCAATTTTCAGCTGGACAAATGGAGCACCATATGTTTCCCAATTATACTTCTCATCCACATCAATTTCCATCTCCAAATCCAACCTTATACGACACCCCGTCTCCAAATCCCAGTTTACATAACACCCCGTTGCCTCGGTTCCAGAGCGACTCATGGAGAAGTCCAGCTCAATATTCCAGCCCTAGACCAGGAAACGCAAGAAATCAGAATTTCTCCAGGCCTTGGAATATTTCCGGAAATTCTTCAGGACACAGCTATTACTCCATTTCATCAAAAAGTAGTCCATCAAGCTCCAGGCATGCAGAAAGTCCAATGAATAACGCCCATTCAGCTATAAGGGGCAGTCCCCATTCTCACTCAAGTGGCAGAGGCTGGCAGTACAGGGGTGGTAGCCCTAGTCCAGGCTGGAGTGGTGGAAGAGGTAGAGGAGGATATCATCGTATTAAGGGTTACGGTTTAGGACGGCAACAGCTCGATAGTTTCTATGTTAAGTCGATGGTGAAAGACCCCTGGCGGAAGCTGAAACCTGTTATTGGCAATATTCTTGTGCCGCTGTCAGGACCACAGTCCTGGCTTCCAAAATCAATATCAGCTAAGAAAGTCAAAGTTGATGAGACTGTTGGTGATATCAAACCTAAGCAGAACCTCGCAGAATTCCTTGCATTGGCTTTTGAAGAAGCAATTAATGATGAGCAGGAAGAAGAAGGATTGATAATGCCGAATCCAAATGATCATACTGATCGTGTGGAGTAATGAGCATATTTGAGATGCAGTGGACCCACTTACTTGTTCTCCATCAATGCAGACTGGAAAACCTTCCTACCTGCTCTTTAGGTAAGTGATAGTATCTATTTGATAAGCTTTGCATGCATTGATGCAATCTTTGTCTTAATTTGCTCTTGTTTTAATTTTGTGTTTTAGGGGCCTTTCTGTGAAATTGGATTGTAGGGTACATTGAAAGTGACTGTAGCATTGTTGCTTTGAAACAGCCAGTTTTTACCTTTTTGGAAGGACTTATTTGATAAATTTAAAATAAAATCAAATAACGTAATTACAAATATTTTGTATTGGCTTTAAAAACATGACTTAGGCTTCGTTTCGGACGGCTTTCTTATTGCTTCTTAAAACATCTTTCCAGTACAATTATTAAAATTTTTTACCAGAAAGCTGCTTTACGAAGCAATAAGAAAATCGTCTCAAACGAAGCCTTAATCTTTGCCCAGATCTTGAACGCACCCTAGTTTTTCCTGTATAGATTGTATATATTGTATTTAGCTTAGGGTATTATTGGAAGGTGCAATTGTGTGTTATATTTCTGGAATTGTAATGAATATGTGCAATAAATTTGTCTTAAAAATTTGAGGCCTTTGCCCCAACAATAGGAGTAAGAAATGAAGAACGGGTGAGAGGGGGGCGGAGTAAAGGAATAGTAGTCTAAGAAAGGAACAATTATTACGTCCTCCGACCGAATGCAAAGAAACATTCGGTCGCACGTAAAAATCCAGCGGTACCGAGGTGTACTGAGTTTTTTGAAAAACTCGGTACACCTCGGTACCGCGGGATTTTTGCCTGCGACCGAATGTTTCTCTCATTCGGTCGACCGAACCAAATAAAACTTCCTAAGAAAGAGGAAGCATATGCGAAATTCATCTAAATAATACTTTTTAATGGATATTAAAAATAGGGAAAAGCTCAACGAAATGAAGAGGGGGGGTATAAAACATAAAACCATCAGGAAAAAGCCAGAATCATAAAAAACTAAAGGCTAAAATTTTTTTGAGATGGAAGAAGAGAAGAACCAACAAAGGGGAAGAAAAAAGAGTCGCACATGAAATTCTAACATAGGCGAAAATAGGAGTGTACATACACACACATGATTTTTCTTTTAAAATTTGTAATTAAAAAAAAAAAACAATTATAATCTTATTATGCAGAACATAAACTTGAAAATGAAGATTTTTCATAAAATATGTAGCTATTCCATGTGCATTTCTTAAAAAATTATGTAGTTTAAGATAAATATTTTTCATATTTTAAATAAGTACTATTGAATTTAGATTTTTCTATGGGCAACATCAAATCTTACTGACAAAATCAATAAGGTAAAATAGAAGAAATCCACTAGTAGATGTAAGAAAACAACAAGCGATACAAGTTTCTTCAATTCGAGAGGAAGAAACATCTCTCGAAATCTTTAGTCAATCCTAGAGCCCAAAAGAACAAATCCTACATCTCAAATTTGACTTCAAACTCAAGATAACCCTCAAACCCTAACATGAAAGACTAATTAAAATAAAAGAAAAATCAATTAATCCCTAAACAGCCCCTCATTCAAATTTTCCCACCCAAACCCTGTTTAATTCAGGCCATGGGGCCCACCAATGCTGCCGCCTCCTCTCTTGTCCGCCTCTCCCTTTGGACCGGCGGGTATAGACTTGAACCGATCCAAGTTGGACCGGTTCAGGTCTAACACATGCACATTCAAAAAATCAAAACGGTGCTCAATCTTGGCTTTTTGCATAAAATTGATAGTTCCAGAAAACTGTATACATGGTGAAACATGCATTAAACGCTATTGATTTCATCCAAGGAAGATAGCAGTGGATTACTTGCTTCTCATCTGTTTTCTCTACACTTTTGTTCAAAATTGTTGGCATGATTGACTGCTCCAGGTCCAGCTTCTGCTCCTTGTAAGGCTTGTTCCATACCTCAAGCAATCCTTTTTGTGCTCAAGCTCTCTCTTTTACTGCACAAGCTCTGTCATCATTCTCCCAAAAAGAGGAGGGAGGGATGACAAACAAAAAACTTGAAATATTATTACTCTTTTATGTTTCGTTTGGGACAATTTTCTTATTGCTTCTTAAAGCAGCTTTCTAGTACAAAAATTTAAATTTTTGTACTAAAAAATTGTTTGAAGAAGCAAGAAAAAAACAGTCCCAAATAAAACCTTAGTGATACTATTGACTAATAATTCACAATTCATCAATTAGTGATACTATGAACAAATTAGAACTTTTCCATCTTTCTTTTTTAAAAAAAATCTCACATGGAGCATAATGTATATAATCCTAGACTTAACCAATCTCCTAATAAGCAAATATGGAATCAAATTAGCATTCATGTAAGCTTAGGTTTACAAGTTTAAATTTTTTTTTTTATATAAAATTAATACATTTTTATAGGAATGATTTGAAATTTAATTCAAAATTAATCAATTTAAATTTGAGTTGAGACTAAATGGATTTTTTTTGTTTTTCAAATTTATGTCAAAATATGCTCTCATCTTTTATTAGATCATATAAATTATAAATGAAAATTTAAAATAATTAACATTTTAAATATTAATTTAATTGAAAAAGTCTAATATTACTCGAGAGAAATATGACTCTCATTTTTGCCATGCGATAATGATTTTATCTTACACAAAATTTAATGAGCGTGCATTAGAGAAGGTGATACTCAAGGTTTTAAAAATTGATCCGAACCGACCGGTTTGACTGGCTCAATCATGAACCAGTCAATTGTCCGATCTGGTTCAATTTAAAAGCTGGTTTCGTAGCGATACAGCCTGAGCTAGCCGGCTAAACCGACAATTTAACCTTCGAAAGAATCGGCCGGTTCTACAATTTTTTTCTTAAAATAAAGTATAAACGATATATTTTACTTTATTAAATTCTTTTAAAAATTTTAATTTTCTTAAATAGTAATTGAGATTAATTACAATATGATCTATGCATGACATCTAACAAAATATGTTTTGTTAAAAAGTGTGAACTTTACACTATATAAAGAGTTAAGAGACAATTATCTCAAACTTCTCAATGATGTGAGACTAAAAAAGTTGCATTAACACTATATGAGCATGAATGTGAGTTTGAGATTTAATGGGCTATGAATTTGGCTAGTTGGGTCGTGAATTTGGGCTGATTTGACAGCAAATTTTTTTAATTTGTATTATAAATTAGTATATTATAAATTTGTTATAATGTATATTATAAGAATTAATAATATAAATTTTTAATATTATAAATTTATATATTATTTTAAATATTATTCTTATTATAAATTTGTTATAATATATATTATAAGAATCATATTTATTATCAATTTAATTAAATGTAAAAGTTAATTATAATTAAATTATTATATATTCATAAATATAATATAATTAAACTATATGTCTAATAATTTAATTATAGTATATAATTATATTCATCATTTCAATTTAATTTAATTATTTAATAATTTAGTTATATTTATAGTTAATCTTTTAAAATTATGGAATTTAAATTCTTAGAATTATGAGGTTCAAGGTTAGATTATCATAATTATTATATTAATTTTTAATGATATTATTATTTATTATATCATTCAGATCGTTTGAATCATGAACATCTACTTCTTCAAATTCATTGTTGAGTTAGATTTTCACAATCTTAATGATATTGATGGATTTAACAAAGCTTTAATTTACTTCCCTCATCAATTTCAACTACAACAATAAATTAGTATTGGGGAGCGCCTCCTTCTTTGTTTGGTGGGGGCCGCCATAATCCATTGAAGTTTAGTAAAATATAAGAAATATTGTTGAATAAAAAAAAAAGTTTTTATTTTTAATCTAAATTTATATTTAAGTTTGGCCTTAAGATATATGAAGAAAAGCAAGACAGCAGTTTACATAATATATTAAAATATATTATTCTTCTATTTTATTCTTATTATTTATATATGAAAGTTAGATATAAAATATTAAAGATTTCAGTGGTAGATACGTAAATAAGAAATATAAACCCTAAGGGCTGTTGGTATCGGATTTGATTTAACCCGCGAAGTCGCCTGTGCGCTTCAGGCCGTCCGAAGCGTGAGCGTCCTGTTAACCTCCGGGAAGTGGAAGCCGAGTTTCGCGGCTGTGAGGTAGGGTTTGGTCTGTGACATGAGCTTCCTTCTGAACACTTTGACGACGAAGCGGGAAGTGGACACGGCGATCCGAGACACCCTCGACAAGGTTCTCGTCCTCCGCTTTGGCCGCGCCTCGGAGCCCGTTTGTCTCCAGCTCGACGACATAGTGAGTACAGATTTTCCTATATAAATTCGTTATGTTTGATGCTTGTGATTTTTTCGATTCTTGTTTCTGATTGTGCGTGTGGGCTTGTTTGGTTGACGGTAGGATTTTAGTAAAATTGGATTTGTTGAATCGGTTTAGTAAATGCTGGTGGTAGAGCTGTTTGGTTGCAGTTTTTTGAGGGATTTAATACATCTGCTGAATTAAATTTCTTAAATCTCAGTTTTTCGTGATTTGATAAATCCTGGATTTGAGGCAATATTATCGAATCCCATTAAATTCAGGGTTTAATTTAGGCGATATTTTTAAGCTCTTTATTAGGTTTTTGGCAAATTATATCTAAAATCTCCAACTGTCAGTTAAAACAAGCAACCAAACATGGTTTTTTGTGCATTGGAAATGTCGATCAGGAATCCAGGTTTTTTTATTTTAATAGATGTATGTGTGTGGAAAATTGTTGATATCAAGGGTTATTATATTTATTGAATGGGGATTATCTTTGATTAGTGGTTATTGATGATACATGTATTAGTTATGCAGTTCAAATTCACTCAATTATCAACCTTTTTTTTAATTTTAAATTCGGTGGCCACCAAACTCAAGATTTATTCCCACTTGATTGTTCATGATTGGTGATTATCAAACTCAAGTTCCATTCACACTTAACTCTTTACACATACAATATCATTTTGCCCAATAAAAGAGGAATAAACAAGTGTTGCATAACACCCATAACAAAAGCAACTGGAAGGGGAGGAAGAGAAAGGGAGGGGGGAAGGATTTTTTTTTTGGGTGCATGTAGAAGTATGCCTTCAACTTATTCAAGAAGATCAAGTGTTGCTATTTTCAAATTTAGCCAGAGGAAAAGCTATTAGTCATCGTAAATAGTAGCTCTTATTTAGGCTCTTCTAATAGAGAGGGGATGAGACTAACTACAAGAATAGTAACATCTCCTTCTCCCTTCAACCTTAATCTTTGCAGCAAATAGTTTCATTCTCTGTGCTAAATAAAATAATATCCGTCTCTTTATCTCCAGTTTGATATGAAGTGTAATATCATAATATACTCCTTTTTGCAGCTTTATATATTATTTGGTTTCAATGCGATCGCATACATAGGTGAATTATCAAACCAAGTAATATTATGTGTATTGTTATCATAATCGTTGATGTGCTTATTCTCTATGTTTATTTGGTCTAGTTCAAAGTTTTATTAACCTCACAACTAGTATCAAATTGAGGTTATAAGGAGTGCAATGACTATGATTCTTAAGATCAGGAGATCCAATGACACAAAAAATTGTAGGTTTTTTGGGAAGCAATATACAAGGTATTCAAATCTAATAAAGTTTATTAAAAGCTCTTATGCGGCATTTACAAATGTATTGGATGATGACCTAAGAAGATATAAAAGAGTTAAATGAGAATTTTTTTAGCGATTTAGCTATATTTGACAAATAAGGTCTTGATATAGGTTTTAGAGGAAACAATCACATAATGTTTGTGGCTAAAGATGGACAAATTATATCATAAACAAAGATTATGTTTGCTCCATATGCAATAAGGTACGTTGAGCAAATATATTCATTCAATTCTATTATTCAATATTTAAGAATTATTGATGATGAGGATCAAAATCATCAAACATTTTTCTTACCTTATTATTTATCTTGTTCTTACAAATACTTTTGAGATACCGTGTTGTATAGTTGTTGCCCAATAAGTTAAGATGATGTCTAGAATTCACTTCTTTCAAAGGAGTTGATTTTTAAGCTCGAGGGAGGTGTCAACCAGCTAAAGGTTTATTGCTTGTTTTAGGGTGATTTTATGTGTTAGAGCCTCTTCTAATCATGGCAGTACTAAATCTTAGAGCAAATTAAAAAAAAAAAAATCCTTATTTCTATGGTAAAAAGAAAACGATACATAAAGAAGAATTTTTTTTTCTTGAATAAACAAGAGCATGGAGTAGAGGAAAACCACAAAGAGGATAAATGTTATTGAAGACTTTTCTAGCTTTTATATCATGACTAAAGACAACACATGTAAATAGCACTTGATTTTACATTCCATCTGTTTTAATCATGCATGCTTTGATTTAAATATGTTTTTCATATATGAACTAAGTTTTGGTTGCTATGCTTATATGATAAATGGAGTTGTGTGAAAGGTTAGAGATTATAGTACTGTGAAGTTGATGGCACATAGTAGTGTAGTTGCATCATTGGCTACAATAAATTATGTACTAGATTTAAAGAAAAATCTATTATTCTTAAGTGCTCATAGTGTTTATTGGGTATGACAATCTAGGTTACCTGAAACAAATTAAGAAGTGGAAAAAATGGCAGAAAATAGCTCATTAAACTAAAAGTCATGTAGTTGATTGGGTATGACAATAAAAGGTTTTTCGGTATCCAATTTTAGGCAGTATTTAAGCAAATATTTGGCTTAAATATCGCCAAATATTTTTTAAAAGACTTTAAATCCTACTAGTTTTGTGAATCCAATTTCAACCCTGTTATTTGTTAAATCTCACCATTCACAAGATTTAGAGAGTTGGAGTTCTTTTTGTTGCAAATATCTATCTCGAAACAAATAACCACACACTTTATTAGGATTTAAGTATTGTCATGCCAAACAATTTTTCATATTTTATTTTTCTCAAGATTTACTAAATTCAAGTTTATATTATTTACTAAATTTTACTTTTAGTCAAACAATTTGTGAGAGTAAAAACATTATGGAGAAAAAACATTATGGGTTGATTTATCTACGTCATCTTTGGTGATGAAAACTCTTTCAAAGAGTAAATTGTGGCCAGGATCTAAGAGGACTCGAGCTTGTTGCTATAATTCATTATTTGTAACCCGTGAAATAGATGGTAGATGAAACAATAGAAAAATAGTGGAACATTGTTAGATTTATCCGCAAAAAAAATAAAATAAAATAAAACAAGCAGATTTTTTGCGGACATTCCACTTGTTATTGGTGCTAAAATTCGCCAATATTCTACTGGTATTATTGGCTAGAAACAATCCAATGAAAAAATATATATATTGATAATGCAAAATTCTTGGTGAATTTCTCCCTTAATCACCAGAACTCCACAACCAATCCCGCCTGCCATCGCAATTGCCTACCCCAATAATGGCTTGTTGCATCTATCTTGCTTGAGGCAATTGCTTGTCGCATCTGGCTTTTGTTTTCCTTCATATCCAAGCAAAGCCATCAAGGCTTCAAACTCTATGGTCATAGCCTTGTAGGAGGCAAATATTTCATGAATTAGTTTTGGATGATATTGAAAGAAATAATGTAAGATTTTGGAGAGGATGTGGATTTGTTATGACAAAATTATCTGATATTTTATGATTGGGGTTTATTTTTAGAGTAATTGATGCAAGCAAAAAGTTGGGAAAAGCCCCAAATTTTTGCAAGCAAGAATGAGACTCTTCCATGTTACAGGTACTCTACCATGGAGAGCTTAGCAGTTTTTTTTTTTTTTTTTTTTTTTTTTTTTAATGGAGAGCTTAGCAGTTAATTCAAGATATTATAAATAAAAAACCCTTATCAGAAATTATAGTAATGGAAGTCCGTGGAGGCGGATAACATTTTGAATGAACAATCTTCTAAGTGTGATGCATCGCTAGTGGAATTGGAAAAGGAGTTAATCATATTTAAAAATGATATGCAATTACAAAGAGAAAATCACGTCCATGAGTATTGTTAAGCAGTCTGAAAAAAAAAAATATTACTGCACCTTGACAATTAGAGGCTTGCCTTATTAAATTTATTTTTGGAAAGTGAATTCTTGGATTAAATAATGTTTTGAACTTTATGCAGAATCTCTTCGCCATTTTCACATTATACATCATGGCAAACGCGTTCTGGTCACATTTTTATCTTTTTGGTTTGTTTTCAAATCATGCTTGGTATTTAAAATTTTTTTTGGTTATTTATTGCTGCGGTGCTACCTTGTTTACAATATTTAACTATTACTTTCTGCCTACTCTTTTCCTAACTTTTTTGTTTCCACCCCATTCCTTGAACAGCTTGCGAAGTCCTCTCGAGAGATTAGTAAATTTGCAGTTATAGCTTTAGTAGATATTGATGCTGAGGAGGTTCAAGTTTATGCCAAGTATTTTGATATAGTACTAATTCCTTCGACTGTGTTTTTCTTCAATGCGCATCACATGAAGATGGACTCTGGGTACTTTTTTTTTTTTCACTCAACATCTAGTTCTACCGTCACTGTACATTTAACTTCAGTTGAAGTAATTATATATACTAAGAAATTATTATCAACACATTACGAACATAGATCAATATAATGCATCCGAGTTGTATTTGGCATTCCTATGTTGTGTGTGTGTGTGTGTATATATATACAATGAATTCAAATTTACTGAATTTGTATTGATGATGATTCAGGACTGCTGATCATACAAAATGGGTGGGCTCTTTTCAATGTAAGCAAGATTTCATAGACGTGGTAGAGGTTAGTTGCCATTACTAGTTATGTAAGAGTTGGCTAATATGGATTGCGTGATATCACCTTACATATGTAATCTACCTCGTTTGGGACAACTTTCTTACTGCTTCTTAAAGTTACTTTTTTTTATTAAAAAGTTGCTTTAAAAAGCAGTAAGAAAGCCGTCCCAAACGAAACCTTAATAATTATTATCCTACTTTTTCCTAAAGGCATGCTTTCCTACATGAAATCATCTAAGAACCTTGATAGCTATTGCAAGCTCAGTTTCTTTCAAAGACATAGAATTTAACCTTGAGTAGGCTCGACTTTGGCTTGTTGATTGGATCCTGACCAGACGTTTTTTAACAAGAAGAAACTTATTTTGTATATTTTAGATAATACTAACAGTTTCAAGTATCAATGAACTTTGATGACAGGCCATATTTCGAGGTGCAATGAAAGGTAAGCTGATAGTTAGCTGTCCTCTCCCTCCAGAGCAAATACCCAGATTCCAGCTTCTTTTCAAGGGTCTATAATTATACCCTGCTGTAAGTTTTTTTATAGCTATGCCTATTATAAATCTGATAGCTTACATTGAATTACTTATCAGATGCTATAAACTATTTGAGCTAAATTAGGTCTATAATCTTTAAATGAAATATTTAATAGTTCCAAAATACAATTTCACTTACCTTGTGGAGTAAAATTGGAAATAGTTTCTCGATTATTTGTATATGATTAATTTAATTTTAGGCTTTATTTGAGGTAGCTTTCTTATTCTGTTTTCTAAAACGGTTTTTTAGTATAGAAATTTTTTGAACTAAAAAATTTGTATTAAAAAATTGTTTTAAAAAACAGTAAGAAAGCTGCCTCAAATGAAGTCTTAGAGTAGTATGGTACTCCAATTTAGGCTTTATTTGGGATGATTTTTTTACTGCTTCTTAAAATAATTTTTTAGTACAAAATTTAAATTTTTTGTATGGAAAAACTACTTTATGAAACATGAAAAAAGCCGTTCTAAACAAAACCTAAGTATTTTGATCATACAAAATTGAATTATAATGAGTTATTTTGAGATAATTTTGTATAGTTGAGTTCTTGATTTAGAGCAATTGGATACTTTATGATTAAATTGATCGCATGCAAACAGTCTAAAATTATTTTGAAAATTTTGTCTGTATAATATTATGTTTAGCTATATCGTTAAATATGATTAATTAATTCCTATAATGAATTGTGTGGCACAGATGAATAAAAGCACAAAACACCAATGATCAACGAAAACTATCACATTATATACGCCAAACTTGGCTTTGTGTAACTCTGTCAAAAAACAGTTCAAGTCAGACAGGCACTCTTTTCATATTATTAGATCATTAAAAGGAACTTTTATTTGGTCCGGTGAAAGGACGTAGAGCTACGTTCGGCCGGCACTAAATCATGCCACGTAGCAGACACAAAACCACGTATTTGTCGATTTTGCTCGGCAATAACGAGAAATATTATTATGTGAAGACAAATACCGAGTAATACCGAGTTTTTTCTAGAAAAATTCGGTATTACTCGATATTGCTTGGTATTACTCGGTATTGGTCTTCACAGAACGATATTTCTCATTATTGCCAAGCAATACCTAGCAATACTGAGCAAACACCGAGCAAATATCGGGTAACTCAGTGGTGACTGCATGTAGAGCTACGTCCGGTCACCGGACCTAATAATTGTTCCATTAAAAGGCATTCGCCTGCTTATGCTTTCTCTTAGGGACGAAACGCCTAACCCACAAATGCTTTCCATTTATTAAAAATTTGGCTTTGTAATGGCCATTCAGGATGGCTAATACCGTTGATAACGAGTAAAATGAAACTTGGGCGAATAGGGGCTGCTGTCTCCTTCCTCCCACCTGCTCGACTTTCACCCTTTCAACTTCACCATAATTCCTGCCCATTTTAGAAAAAAACACTAATGATTATTATATTTTTTTTTTGTCAAAATTTACCATATATATATATACAGAGAGAGAGAGAGAGAGTTTTTATTCTTTCAAGAGGAGATGGTATCATTCTCCTGCAAATTTATTTTGATGGTTATTATTTTATAACAAATAAAAATGGGCTGATTTTTATTATTTTTTATAATAATTTGACTATTTAATAAAATGTGAGATAAAAGATTGATTATTCAATGTGGAAGCCCTATTGAATAAAGAACTTTGTAATGAATTTACTAAATAGTGTAACTATATAGTCTAAATATCACAAATAATTTAAGCATTCTAATTATATATTTTAATATTTTGCAAAGAATGCTTAAGGTAATTTTCTTGTTTTTTTTTTTCGGAAATAAAGCATGTGAATGTCCAAATCCAAAGTTACAATCTAAATATGTGAGAGATAAATAATAAATTCATAATCAACTCATGAGTTGTGAATATTTCATTTCATTTTTGTCAATACAAATAAAATTTCTTCTTTAGAAGGATATAATTAAGATAATTTAATTAGTAATAAATGTGTGCTTATTAATTGAGTATATATTATACCAAAATAGATTGCTTTGATGCTTTTAAAGTATATATTTAGAAGATTGGGTCATTTATCGTGAAATATTTTTTAATAATCCATTTTAAATTTTGAATGTCTGAGATTTAAATTATTTAAAAGGTATTTATTTACTATATCCATCACAATTTTTATTTATTAGTTACTTATAAATCTTTGCTATTCAAATTTTATGTGTGAGAGAATAAATGGCCCTCTATATATATATATAATTAGTAGGCTTCTAAGAATGATGGTTTTGTCAAGATTTCCTTTAACCAAAAGTATTCACATTCCTTAAAATGTGTAACCCCACTTGGAATAAAATATTCTATAGTGAATTTGTTGAAGAAAAGTTAAGAGCATTCATTTTTATGCACTTGATGAAAAACTCACATTTGACTAAGTTAATTCTCCAAGGATAAATGAACTATACTTGAACACAATCTAACTTGTTTAATTAAATTCACAAATAAGTTTGTCTTTTATGGAAAGGTATCTTCACCATCCATGAAATTCTTCTTGAGGCTTTAACTTAGCTAATGATTGACCTTTCTCCTTGCTTGAGCTATAATGAACCCGTTTCTTTTTAAGGAAAAAAAATATTTGTACCGTTTTATGATAAAGTGGCACTCAAAATGTATAAGCCTTTTGTGCTCTCACTCACTATTGAATTCACTAGAAGTTATCCTTCTTCGGATGTGCTCCAATGATTTTCCACCCATTTGGGTTTGCTTTTGGCTTTTCGAACTAGTCAATATATATGATTTTCTCACTTTATTATTATGTTAGCTAGATAGCGATATGCTCTAAAATTTTTTCAAAAAATTTATTCCATTAGCCTTATTTAAATTAAACTTTCTAAATGACCGCCTATTATTGATGTTAATCATTATTTGATCATCATTGATTTAGATCTCTCTGCGAAGATTGTGATTTTTGAACATAAATCATATATATTTATTTACCTTTGAGAAGTTTTTGGTAATTATGTATAAGTAAATACACCTATGAATTTAACTTCTTGATTGTCAATTTCTTATATTCTTGTTGAGATAGACATCTATAATAAATAGAATATCATGTGTTAGATTTGATACTAATGAATCTTTCTTTACACTACATATGAAATTCAAATAAAAAAAAAAAACATTTGTTATTTTTCATCAAGAATATATTCCTTCCCAAAATAAAGAATGGAAGAAATGACCCATTTTTATCATAATTTTGATAAGCTAATACAATTTTGGGATGTAAGTACCTCATATGTTAGAACTAGTAACCCTTCTATATTAAAAATGATTTAAATTACCCCTTAGATTACTTACATTGGCACTCCTCAATCTAATGAATATGTTGATGATCCTACTACCAATTACTTACCTCCTTTTATATTTCTTGGTGAAACTATTGATGGTACTTTTTCACATGCTTGTAAGAGTGGCAAGAACAAGAAATTTGTAAAACTTAATGCACTTTTGCATTTTACTATTCTTACTCTTACCAATGTTTGCAATAGAATATTTGTAGCATTGTTATGGCACCAATTAAGAATATGCTAAAAATCCTCATAATAATTTACAATATCAAAATTGTCATTATTTTGACTCGATAAATTATTGACACGTGAGTCGAGTTCGACGGGCTTACGAGTCAAGCTTGAGAAAGCCTGACTCGACTCGTTTAAAAAAATATTAGTATAAAATGCATTTAAAATTTATTAGCATTCAAGATTTTTAACTACAATACTGTTAAAAAACTCTCCTTTTTCTATTAAATTATTCTTCATTAAATCTAAAATTTTTAATCATTTTACTATAATAATTACTTAAATCATAATTATTTTCTCTCTTTCTTAGTGAATAACCAGACTCGTAAGCCAACTTGAACTCGATTAATTAATCAAACTCTAGCTCAAACTAGAGGTGACTCGAGCTCGGCTCTACTCATTCACACCCTTTCATTAATTAGTGATCAATGTACAACCAATTATTTTATTAATATATTTCCTTAGAAAAAATTTTCCCTATAAGATATATATACACAAACACTCTATGCCTAACAAGAATCAAAATTAAAAAAAAAAAAAAAAAGGAAAATCAATAGGATGAAAATTGATGATGGTTATAGACCGTGGAGCTGTGATGATGGTTAAAGAATTAAAATCAAATCATAGGAAAATGTAAAAAAAAAAAAAAAAAAAATTAATAAAGAATAAATATATATATGTTTACCTGATGAAGAAACTATACAATTCCTCTTCTGTAAGCGGATATCCATTAGAAAAGGTGACAAAAAGCATCCTCTCTTCACGTGGAATGTCGCTGCGATATTCTCCTCCTGGCTTTGCATGCATAAATGATTCTTTATTTCTCTGATCTTCTGTATAAAAACACGATATCCAAGGCTTCACTTCTTCTTTCAAGCCAATCATCTGTGATTTGTCATATCTTCTAGCTTCATTTCCACTAGAGCCTTCACCATGAGGCACATAAAGCAATCCATCCACTTCACTTAGGTAAACACAACTTAAACCATGACCTATCATCTCGACTCCCCGCCGTGCTTCTACTTGGCTCGCTGCCTTCTCGTGAAGGTCGGTGAGGGCTTTGTAACATACATTAGAAAGATAGTAGTGTATTCCATTGATGGCATTTTTTTGGAAGGAGGTAGAAGTGGGATTTGGGTTGGGATTGGTTAGGAGGGCGTCAAGAAAGGAAAGGGCCGTGTGGGCGGCGGAGCGGAGAGAGCTTTTGGTCATAGAGGCGATTTTGTTGATGAGGTTTTTGTGGTGGCCATCTTCCTCAAGCCAGAGCCAAAAGGCAATGAGGTGGAGGGAGCAGGAGGGGTCGATGTAGAGATCGAAGGCGAGGCGAGTATAGAGATTGCGCTCACCTGCATGAAAGGAATTTGGATTGGGATTGGTTAGGAGGGCGTCAAGAAAGGAGAGGGCCGTGTGGGCGGCAGAGCGGAGAGAGCTTTTGGTCATAGAGGCGATTTTGTTGATGAGGTTTTTGTGGTGGCCATCTTCCTCAAGCCAGAGCCAAAAGGCAATGAGGTGGAGGGAGCAGGAGGGGTCGATGTAGAGATCGAAGATGAGACGAGTATAGAGATTGCGCTCACCGGCATGAAAGGAGTGGATGGCCTTGATAGGCAAGGAGGAGGAGTCCATGGATTGGTGATTGAGATCGATGTAGTGGAAGATATGGGGGAATGAATGGAAATAAATTGTGTGGTAATGTATTAGGGTCTAGCTTTAGTGCATTGAAGGAAGAAGATTTTCTTCCAAGTTTTGTACTCTTTGAAACGCTTGGTATGGAGTGAATGGGAGAGAAGGCCTGAATCTAGTTGACATTTAAATTATATGGCCAAAATAAGCAAGAGTGAATTCTATTAATTCAACATTACTCTCTCCTTTTCTCTCTCTACAATAATTATATTATGATAAGATAAATATATCAATATAAAATGATATTTTCTTAAAATATGAAGTATTTTGGACTAAATTATTTGACTTTTTAGTAAATACATAATATAACACAATGATAGTTATCATTGTTTTCAAAAGCAATGTAAATGTTCTAAAATTCATAGAAAATTTCATCCTATATTGGACAAATATTTTCATATCATGACATATTATATATATAGACATGCTAATATTATATTTTCCTCTATAATTACTCTCTCTCTCTCTCTCTCTATGTATATATAATTCATCTCCTCATTCATCCCCCTTCTACCACATGGGATTAATGCTTCAGTGTCATCATGTATATCTAAATAAATGATAACATGATAGAATTATCAACCAGACATTAAATTATAATAAATAAAATTTGTTATATTCTATCTCTTGATTGAAGGAAATTAGAAATCAATAGTTTGAATAGTAAAATTAATATTTTTAAAAGTATAAAAAAACTAATAAATAATATTTTGTATATATCAAAATATTATGGAATGGGAGAACATTTCCAATTTTTAAAAAGAATAAATAATATTAATATTTTAAATTTATCAAAATGTAATATTGTAGGAATTTTTATTATGGAAAATAAAATCATGATTATTTTTTAAATTGGTCAAAATTTTCAATTTATAAAAATGATATGCAATTTAATATATTATGGATTTATGGAATAGGTGACGAAATAGAATGATTTGATTTAGATTTTCTGATAATAATCAATCATTAATATATTAAATAAGATAACTAAAATTAATTTTGAAATCATTAATGATTATTAATTAATTATTCTGCATATTGATTAATTTACAAAGATTTACATGCATGTTTCTTTAAAATTCCATATGTATATATGATTGATTAGATTAATTATTTTTATTATATATTATCTTATAATTAAGTAATTTAGTCTTAAAATTTGAATCCATTGGATTAGTTAAATTATTTACATGAATTTTGATATAATAATATATTATACTATACTTTATATGATTATAATTATGTTCACATCACTTTCACTCAATTTCCTCATGATTATAGCTCAAATTATAGAGAATCATCGCCGTTGTGCTCGACGCAACACATTCCCATACAAATTTTATGAAGAAAATTTTTTAGGAATCATTTGCAAGTTATTAATAAATTTTTATGATCCAAATTACATATAGGACAAATGAACAAATAGAGGTCGAGCCAAATTCAAGGCAACTCCACCATACATTTTGTAGAAATTGAATAATTAATCAATTACATCATTTTGATTTTTTTTTTTCAAACAAATCATCCATACTTCAACCTAATTCTGTTTAAGAATAATTCGCATTATATAAGATATTGATGATATTTTATAAATGTATTATGTATTAAGTACAAAGAATCATTAGTCACTAAAATGATATATATATATATATATATATATATATATATATATGAAAAAAAAAAATCTACACTTGTATTAGATAGAAACTTTGCTAGTGACATTTAGTATCAATTATCTATGATGCTTCAGTTTTATTATCTTTCATTTTGATGTGGTGAAGCAAATTTCCCATGCTATGAATAGTTTAATTGATTTGGCAATAGGACTTCTCACACAATTCAATTTTTTCTCTTTGGCTTAAAGCTCTCCATTATTGCCATAAATCATTTGCCTTTTTCCTCATGGCAGCCTAAGATATTCTATTCTATTCTCATTATCAACAACACTCGTAGACTCATCAGGGCCTATTCATCATCATTGAGCCTGCTCGTTGCCTTCATCCCCCTCCAGCCTATCAATAGGTGGCATGTGTTTGAATTAATAAGAGCATTGTATTGACATTATGTGTGGTTTGTAAATTATTTTTAATGCAGTCTTGTTAAATAAAGGGTGATGAGGTGTAGTTGGGGGGACCCCTGAATTTCTTTTGTATGAGATCTATAGTTCTTTTTTTCTTTGATCTCTTTAGTCTCATTGCACTCTCGATTCTTGTATAGGTTTTAGCTCATCGGGTTGACCTGCTAGTCGAATATTATCGATGGATAAATTCATATTCAACATCTTCTTAGGTGCAATATAATGAGTGTAGATTGATGCCAAGGATGAGAAGATAGGCCCAACACAATGAGTGACTTATATAATAGCTTTCAATATACATAGAGAACGCCAAATTCACTACCCATGTGACCTGCATATGATGAAAGAGTGAATCATGAAGAAGATCCAAGATGCTTTGGGTATCCTCCAAGGGCAAGTGTGAGTCGATAGTATCCTTGAGGGATCTTCTAACTCGATAGCTCATCGTAGGTGCTCAAAGAAAGCACTTGTAAAACCCTTAAAAAGCTGATTTTTTTAGTGTTGTTAGTCCCGGACGAACTGACCTTAGTCCCGGACGAACTGAAGAAAATTGTGAAGAATCTGTCATTTTCGTCTGGACGAACCTATAAGAGTCAGGACGAACCGAACAGAGAGCATCGTCCAGGGACGAAATAATTGGAATTAATTTTCGTCTCTACGATCCGTGTCCAGAGGAGTTCGTCCCAGGACGATCTGAGCATCGTCCTGGACGATCCTGCTTGATAAGTATCCGATTTGAGATATTTTGGATCATTTTGAAGAGAGGAAAAGGCAGGAGAGAGAAAGAGAAGGAAAGAGAAAGAAGAAGCCTTATTTCGGAGGCCGCGGAGCGCTTTTCGTCCGACAATGCAGTTGGAAGATTTGTTTGTCTCGCAGTAAGGAATCTGAATCCTATTTCTGATTTCGATGATTTTGAGTTTTGATATTTCTGTGCTCAGTTTTGTGTTTCCGTTACCGAAAAAACGTGCATAATTTTGTATTGACGAAAGTTGTACCGCACAACTTTTGATATGTTTCTGATATGATATTTTTTACACGATTTGAGTATTTTCTACAAAGTTTCTACCGGTTATTTTGAGTTCTGTGTGATTTTTATCAAATAGAAAATTATCAGGATGTTGAAAAATATTGCTTCATTACAAGTAAAGCTTTGTAACGTTATTTTATTCGATTTATGGTAATTTGGTGATTTTCTGAATTTGTGATTTCTGTGTACATTCCGTGTACTGCCGTTATACCGCCGATTTCTCGTACGACCTCTGATTTTCTGAATTGATAATTTGGATGATTGAATATGCATACGAATGTGAATATATGATTGAATTATTATTATTGTTACTGAAAGACAAGTGAAGACTGGTTGAACCATTGGTTGGAGATTGACTTGACCTGTACAGGATGGTGGGCCGACGGGCTTTCTTTTAAAAAGGGTTTGGAGATATCCTCTATTGATCATAGATATAACGATTGGGAGTCATAAGGAGATTATTATGCCGACGGGTAGCCGACGGGCACAGAGTGACGACTCTTATTAAGCCAACGGATATATTTATGGATTCTACAACTGCACTATGGATTTCTACAACAACACTATGGATTATTGACTCGAAAAATTCCTTAATAACCAGTGATTGTACTTGTTCAGTAAGACTATTGTATTAAATTGCATGTGTACAGTATTGATCTATTGATCTCATTATGGATTTTATTGACATTGCCTTGTATGAATTTCCTGATATGAATTGATCTATTGATTACTGATTGATTTATTGATTACCCTACGCATGATTGATATTGATGGATTTTATCGACGGATTTATTGTTAGTGAATGGATTTATTGATTTATTGATATTGACGGATTTATTATATTGAATTGATTTATTATTGAATGGATTTACTGATGGATTTACGGGTTTACTGTTACTGTACGATTTCATTGATATTGATAATGATACTGATATGGATATCGATATTGCATTGACTTATTGATACTATGGACATAGATAATATTGATTCATTGATATTGATTCATTGATACTATGGACATAGATAATATCGATCACGCATTGATTACTGATTTTTTCGTATCTGCATAGATTCACTGATCATGTGCAATTAACTGTTATGGATTTGATTGACTGACATGCATATTGTTTCAATACCGTGCTTTGATTTCAGTTATAGGTATTAGGTGACCTGCTGGGCTTTTTGAAGCTCATTATATGTGGTTAACATATCGAGTTCAAGTAT